CACCCCCCCCCCCCCCCCACCCACCCCAATTTTAGAGTAACTGTTTTTCAGAAACTACTCAGGCCACTGGCACAGTCTAACCAAAACAAAACCGATTTGACTTTTCGTGTTTTTGCGTGGCAATTACCGGTTTCGCTAGTCTAGTCTATACTAAAATCTTGAACCGATTGAGCAGTTTCCTGGAAAATGATACCCTACTCTAGAAAAAATAAAACCTAAAATAAATCTATCGTGTTGTTTAATTGCAATTATTATTGCCAAAGAACCCATTGTGATAGACTATGCAGGTCGAGGAAGTAGAATTTCTGACTACTTTAACTCGCGGCCTCGAGGAAAATCCAAACATCTCTCTGCTGGAAATGTGCAAAAGACTGCGTCATACGTATGAAGGGAAGGCGGAAGAAGCAACAAAAACAAAAGTGCACGAGGATGAGTTAAGGTAACGCTTTTAATTTATTGGCAGTTTACAATCTGCCTTAAAGAGTGTAAAGAGAAGATTTGTCATAGCCTTGTCAGAAATGCCGCTTGTAAGACTTGGAGTTCGGGGGCGGTTTGCAGAAAGAGGTACTAGTATGCGACACATTTCCAGTTGAGGTTGTGTCTGGTAAAAATATCCATTTTCTCACGTTCCTGACTTCCCCTAAGTTAAAAATTAAACGATTGGATAATCTCTTCCTTACAATAAGCAAACGATACCCTGCCGTCGTATGGGGCCGTTTCGGTCTTGAACAACTCCTGCAGTAAAAGAGCCAGAATATTATGTCAATCCTACATAATAAATATTTATAATTACCGAGTCTAAGTAGGATGTGAATAATTTGCAGATCGAGGAGTATTCACCTCGGCCTTCAACCTCGGTGGATATAAAACATCCTCTGACATCTACATAATTCTTTACTCCACGCGAAAGCCGAATTCAGGTATACACGCTTAAGCCTGAGCACCATCTTGACTTTTTAATTTATGACGTCATTCGCGGAAAGACTTCAGCCGCCATCTTTGAGTTTTGACTCGCGTGACAGTACCATGTCAGGACGAGAGGCAAAGTCAGGCCATTATGAATCGCTTTATTCCATTCTTTTTCTGCATAATCATTAACAAATACCAGCAAATCCTTTTCCCAGGCTAAAGTAATCGCAGTTGCCCGGCTCGTCTTTGTAAGTCATACGGGGATATAACTTAAGTTTTATAGCATCTAGTCAAAAGTGGAAA